CCTCTAACCGAGCCTCTCTGTCCTCCCACCACCTCCCCACCTCTAGCCCCGCCTTCCAGCCCTCCCACCCACCTCTAACCCCTCCTCCCCACCTTCCCACCACTCCTGGCCCCACCTCTAGCCCCGCCTCCCAGCCCTCCCACTCACCTCTAACCCTGCCTCCCTACCTTCATTTCCCACTTCTCTCTCCTCCCCTCTCATGCATAACCTCTTCTCCCTAGACATGACCCCTCCTCTCCATTATCCCACCAGAGATCTCACCCCTTGTCTGCCTCCTTTCCACAGAGATACTGCCTCTCCCTCCTCTCCTAGATCTCACTCTTCCCTCTCCCTCCTCCCCCACAGACATTGCGACTCATCTTTCTCCTCCCTAGACGTCATCCTCCCCCTCCCTCCTCTCCTTCACAGATATCACTACTCTTCTCCCTCCTCCTAAACATCACTTCTCCTCCCTCAGCTCCCCACAGACATCACTTCCCTTCGCCCTCCTCCCCTCAGTCATCACCCCTTCTCTCCCTCCTCCCTGTGCTCCTTCTCTCCCAGACATCTTCCCTTTTCTCTATTCCTGTGTTTTGTACACAAGTACACACACACCCTTGCACTCACAGTGTCTGCAGCCTGCTGCTGTGTCTACTTCTTAGCCCTTGGGTGCCGAGGGTTCTGTCAGATTCTCTGCCACCATCAGAGGCAGGATGGGCCCGGCCCCGAGTGCCGTGGTGGCCCTGGGTGCGGATGGGGGAACTGCCTCTCCAGGCCCACACTGCATTGGTCAGAGTGAGAACACTGGCCGGGCAGGACTCACTGCCCTGCCTTCGAGTCAGGACATAGGGTCAGCATGGCAGACGGGGGACTTATGTATGCAGCACCCCCTCAAGTGCATCCCCATGGAGTAGTGGGAGAGGGCCGCCCAGGAGCCCTCACTTACAGCATGAAGGTGGATGAGGAGGGCACATTTGAAGGGATGGCCGGAGTTGAACCAGTCTCTAAAAACCCTAAAGCAGACCTAGCTCCCCTCTACCCGCTGGATGAGAGAGGGTACCCCTTTAGGACCCCTCTGTGTCTGGGGTCAGCTCAGGGGATTTTTGCCAAACCAGTTGGAGGGTTCATGGGAGTCCCTGCACACGATGCTCCGCCCTCCGATCCCATGGAGTCTGTACCGGTTCCACGGGAGGAAAGGACAGACACCCACACCCCCAGTCCCTTTTCTTTGAGGCCATCTGCTCACATTTGTTTTGTCTTACTGCCCCCTGGTGGTTGGATCAGGGTGGGCAGCCATCAGAAGAGATACTCCCAAAACACAAGGGGTGAGGGTGAGGGGATGGCTGTAAGGCCCAGGCTGCCTGCCGCCTGCACACAAGTGCCTATCGTCGGCATGCAGGCTGGGAGACAGCTGTCCTCCCTGAGCCACAGGACAGGCAGTGGGGACAGAACTTGGACCAGGAGGGTCTCCCTGTGAAATCCCGTGTCCGTCCGGGTCTGCTTGAGGATGACTTTGCCCCCTGTTCACCCTGCAGCCACGGCCACACAGCCAGCGCCATCCTTGTGAAGGGGCGGGGGCTTCATGTGCCTCCATCAGTCCACTGTCCCTCCTGCCCCCAGAGCGTCCTGTGTCCCCTGGTGGTGTTCCACTGGACGCTAGATAAGAGGTTGTGACTGAGGCACACAGCCAGCTGTCCTGAGTCTGCCGGGGGGGCAGCATGGTCCCAACCCTCATTCCTTGTCTGCCCAGGCCCTCCACCCTGCATGCCCTTTTGCTTCAGTTTAGGGGTCTTTCATCTGCACCTCTTGGGGTGTGATGTCTTGGGGGCCCAATCCCCCCACTTTCCTGTGTACTGAAGGACTGTCCTCTCCCTGTCCCTGCTGCCTATCCTGCCTGAAGTCGGCCCGGTCCAGCCCCTCCAGTTCCAGCTCCAGCGCAGACTCCAGCTCCGACTCAGACTTCGAGCCGTCCCAGAACCACAGTCAAGGTGGGTGCTGCGCGGGGCAGCCAGCCCTGCTCTGGGCCCTGCTCGGGGCTTTGGTCTGGCCAGCGGGGCTGGAGCAGCCTCCTCAGTGACTTAGCTAAACGGCTTACTCCCTTGGAGTCTTGGCCATGAACTTAGTGCCCTCTGTGGGAACCATCCTCATTGTAACAGTGCCGTCTGACCAGTGGCCGAGGAGCTGGGCCCTCAAGGTTGAGCCCAGTCTCGACTGCACCAGAGGCCTGGCCTGGGAGAGGACATGGAAGGCAGTGCCAGCCGCCAACCACGGCCCCCAGGCTTGAGCTTGCTGTCCCTCTGGGCGCAGCTGCCAGCCTCCACACATGTGTCAAGGCCTCGAGCGATGCTGATGAGGTGCTGGCACCTCTGAGTGCAAACGGGTGCCCCCCTAGTTACCAGGTCCCCCATCTCCAGCAGTTCCTAATAGGGGCTCCCTGGCTGCCCCCAGGGTCGTTGGAGCCTCTTCACTCTGCTCTGGCTTGGGCAGGAGTGTCCTGCTGGGGTTAAGCCTGGCCAGCGCCTCCCTGGGCATTTCCCCCACCTTGAGGCTCCTGGGGTCGGACCTGCCGGGGTCTGGCTAGGGCTTTCACAGGCATTGAGGGGACACTCACCCTGCCTCAGTGCGGGGAGGGGCCATTACCAGGTATGGTGAGGACCTGCAAGGACCCCCCCCCCCCCTTAGGAAACATTTCCTCAAGAAATAGGATGAGTCTCCTTCCCCTCTGCTGGAATCCTTGTGGGGAGTGGTTGAGGGGTGTACAGGAGGGCAGCCTGGGACTGAACCACACTGGGGGATGGGGTGCGAGAAGCCCTCACTCTCCAAGTGCTCTTATCTGGGGAAGGGAGGGAGGGGAACCTGCTGGAGTGAGATCATGTGACCAAGGTAATTGAGGGCTTTGTGTCCCTCTGTTGCCTTGGTAACGGGAATATAAACCAAGATGCCATCGGTAGGAGACTGGAACTGTGTGCCTCTAGAGAAGGAGGGAGGTGGTGGGCTGGGGGCTACAGGCAGAAGGGACCACTGAGAGGTAGGCAGACGTGAAGAGGGGGTGCAGGCTGAACACAGGGGCTCTGTCCCTCTGCCACTGCCATTTACCTAGGGGACGGCTCTGAGGCAGCGTGTCAGTGCCAGCTGGCCTCCCCCTCCCCCCGAGGGCCACCCATCCTGGGCAGGAGTCCCCATCTCAGCTCTCAGAGGCTGGGAGGGTCCCCGCAGCCCCGATGATGGAGGCACTCCAAGGCCCCACTGCAGGCCTGGGTCCCGAGGCCAGCGAGCAGGGACAGGAAGGTAGGGGCAAGGGGCTGGGTAACCGCTGCACGTACGCGGGGTTCTGTGGTGTGGAGAGGCCCCACATGGCCCTGCCTGCCTCCCCCTTCCCCGCCCAGGCCCCCTGCGCTCCATGGTGGAAGACCTGCAGTCAGAGGAGTCCGATGAGGATGACTCTTCATCCGGTGAGGAAGCGGCGGTCAAGACGAACCCGGGCCGAGATTCCAGGTGACTGGGCCCCGGGCAGGTGGGGGTGGACGGGCACAGTCAAGGGCTCCTGTTCTGCTCTGACGGCTCGAAGGCTCGGACTGGACTCTGCTGCAGAGGCGGCACCAGGTCTCAGCTGACAGAAGCCACTTCAGGCTCTGAGGTCTCAGGAGGTCGGAGCAAGGGCAGCATGTTGCTCCCCTGGGCTCTCCCACACAGCGACCTTCATCAGTCACAGGACGACACAGGCAGCCTCACAAGGAGACACGGAGTGGGAGTTCAGAGCATTCCCCGTCCTCATGAGGAGGTGGGAGAGAGGGGGGACCCCAGCTGGAGGATAGGTCCTGGAATGCGGCGTGTGAGGGGGAGACCCAGATGGGTGAGGTCTTTGCTGAGAGGCCGGCCAAGTGAGGGGTGCCTCCATGCCCTTAGGTTCCCCAGAGTGGGAGGAGCGAAGCCTGTCACTGCCTGTGACCATGGCCCCAAGTGGGAGGGTCCCTGATGGTGGGGCGGGCAGACGAGGTCACTTTCTTCTGGGATTGGTGCTTGAGGGTAGGCATGCGAGCCTCTGGTTTGCAGCTCAGTGCTGGCAGGCCACTGCTGGATGCCACCTCTCAGGAGCTGTGCTGACAGACCCTGGGAAATTGTTCACTATCCTCTCAGTCCCCATCCAGCCCACAGCTGCGGGGCAGGGTCCACGGCAGACGCCCGGGTGCGGGACAGGGCCCAAAGCTGCTGAAAGCAACAGGCAGAGGTGGAGGCAGACACTGGGTGCAGGCAGGGCCCACGGCAGATGCCTGGGTACGGAGCAGAGCCCACGGCAGCCTCCTGTCAGTGAGACATACGTATTGCTTGAATGGATAAGTGGTAAAGTGACATCTGCCAGGTTGTTCCTGGTGGCAGGGATTCCAGGCACCTGCTCTGTCTCGGGGTGTGCATGTCCCAGGAAACAGCAGACCCCACATGGTGACACCAGGACCTGGAGGGCCTGGGACGACTCTGTTCCTCTTCTCGTTCACTGAGCAGTGGGAGATTTGGGGAGAGTACAAACCTCTTCTCCAGACCCAGGTGGGGAGAAGAGGTGTGGCTGGGAGGACGGGCCTGAGGTGCAGGCAAGGTGGCCGCCAGTACTGCTGATGTTGGGAGTCCCCCCTCCTCCACCCCGATCCTAGAAGAAATGAGTGGAGCCAATGGGGACCTGCCAAGGGCTTGCTCCTCAGAGGTGATGCACCACCCTAAGCAGGTTCCCCAAGCCGATGGGTGAGCACGCTGGGCCTGGCACGATTGGCTGGCCTGTCTGGAAAGGTGGTGGCTGTGCTGGCTGTGTGAGAGCTTTTCCCAAAGACCCACACACGCTGCCTTCTCTGGTGCTCGTACTTGAGGAGGCCGGCCCAGGGGCCAGGGCTGCTTCTCAGGAGGCCAGGCAGCCACAGACCCAGCCCGGGCACCGGGGCCAAGGGGAGGGTGGGCGAGCACAGGCCGAGGGCAGAGGCTAACTGTCCATGTCTCACATTCAGGCTGAGCTTCAGTGACAGTGAGAGTGACAACAGTGCTGACTCCTGCGTGCCCAGCCGAGAGCCCCCGCCCCCACAGAAGCCACCCCCGCCCAGCAGCAAGGTGTGTCCAGGCCCCTTTTGGGCTAGAGGGGTAGGCCCTAGAGGGGGTGCGGGGTGGGGCTTGGAGGTGTGGGTGATATGGGAGTGGAGTGGGTGCTCAGAGGAGCCTTGGGGTCCACCCTGCAGGCATCAGGCCGGAGGAGTCCCGAGTCCTGCAGCAAGCCTGAGAAGATCCTTAAGAAGGGCACTTACGACAAGGTGGGGCCTGGGGCCAGGGGTGGGGGGCCGGCGGGCAAGCGGGCGGAAGGCTGGGAGGCGTGGAGGGCCAGCGGGCGAGCGGGCGGAAGGTTGGGAGGCGTGGGGGACCGGAGGGTGAGCGGGCGGAAGGCTGGGAGGCAAGCTGACCCTGTTACCGCAGGCCTACACGGACGAGCTGGTGGAGCTGCACCGGAGGCTGATGGCCCTGCGGGAGCGCAACGTGCTGCAGCAGGTATGGGGCCACCTGCCTGTCTGGGAGGCGAGGTGGGGTGCCTACTGTCCAGGGGGCAGGGTTGGGGTATGGGGGGCACGTGCTCATCCAGGTGATGGGCCCCCTTTGTCCATCTGGGGAGCAGGGTGCTGCACTGGGTGATGGGGGGCCACTTGCCTGTCCAGGGGGCCCAGGGGGTGTGGTGGGAGAGGACGCAGGGGGAGATGTCAGAGTTCCCGCGGGCTCTCACGTCATCACCTGCCTGCCAGATTGTGAATCTGATAGAAGAGACGGGGCACTTCAATGTCACCAACACCACCTTTGACTTCGACCTTTTCTCCCTGGATGAGACCACCGTGCGCAAGCTGCAAAGCTACCTGGAGGCCGTGGCCACATGACTCTGGGCTGCAGGCCAGGTCCAGGGCCCCGGGAGCCTGCGCCGGGGCCCCGCCTCCCTTCCTCTCTGTCGACTTGCCTGCCCGCAGCGCTGCCTTAGTGACTACCCTGTCCTCGGCCACACCGCCAGCTGCACTTTCCTCGGTGGCGTCCGGCCCGCCCTCCCCATTCCTCCTTGGGGGGCCCTGAGGCCGAGGGAGGCCCGGCCAGCCCGGCTGCCTCTGGCCGCCCTCATGCACTCACCTCGGCCTCCCCAGAGGAGGGTCTTCATTAAAGACGGTGCGGAGCCACTCGTACGAAAGTGGAAGGGCTTCTGCCCACTAGGGCCCAGCCCTGAGGCATATGGGCAGTCTCTCCAGGCCTCCTTGACTGCTGGGCTCTGGGCATCCTTCCTTGCTGGGCCCTTGGAAGGTCTCTGTGAGCTCCCAGCAGACCCCTTTTCCCGCCAGTCTCCTGGGGTGGCCTGTACAGCCCTTTATATATTATATATTCGTGTCCCCCGTGCGTGTCCGCGGTCAGCTGTGTCTCCGGGAGCAGGGACCTGGGGGTGGGGGGTGGGCGATGGGACGTGTAGGTAAGTGTGTCCGCTGGTCTTGTTGTTGTCGAGGTGGGGTGAGGCTCTTGATGCCCAGAGTCCAGCCTCCGGGCCACCTTGCGTGGATGGACCCCAAGGATGTCTGCTCTGTCCTGCGTGGTCAGTGAACACTAAAAGTGGGGTGCTCAGCTTGGGACACTGTCTGCCTCGGCACCACCGGCATCTAGTCAGACTGGAGCCGGGCTCCGGGGACGGGCCCCGGGTCCCCCGGAGCCCTCATCCTGTCGCCGGGGCCCCAGGCTTGGGCCCCAGACTTCTCTCTCTAGCACTCCTCCTCTTGTTTGATCAAATCTTCGAACTTTGAAATAATGAGCTTTTGCCAAATAAGGTGGGAAAGCGTGTGGAGTTTTTCCAAGGCTCATGTGGACTCCGAGCCAGTCCCTGTGGTCTGGCCTGTGGCAGACATGCCCCGTGCTTCCGGCAGCCCCCGAGCTGACCACAGTGCCTGCCCCTGGGCTCCTCCCGGCCGCCCTCCGAGCGAGCGCCCTCACCAACCTGTTCTGCCCAAGCGATGCATAGGGAGGCGGCGGGCGGCCGCACCTCCCAGGTTAGGAGTTCAGGCCTGGGGCCTCCCGCCCTCCTCTGAGCCTCGTGTCCCCTCCTCTCAGCTCAGAGTCCCTCTGTCGGGAGACTGGACACTCCCCAGATGAGACTTGCCTCTAGGATGGCCCAGCCTCCACCTCTCACGGTTATCCTGATAGCCCGTTCCAAGAACTTCCAGAGGAAACGAATGGCTCCGGCTCCGTCTTCCTCCAGCCCCACAGCCTTCAGGTATCGGGAGGGCACGGCCTCCGTGGCCCCCTGCCTTCCCTTCAGGCCAGCAATACTCCTGAGTGGGGCGCCTCTCTCCTGAAAACTCTCCAAGATGGTGGACAGATGCGCTGGCCTGATGTCTTCCCGAAGGCAGAAGCTGCTCGGCCGTCTGCACCAAGAGGCCCAAGGCCTGGTCTCCACTCACGCTCCGGAAGGGCCGCCTGGGGCCTGGGTGCCACGCCACGGCCAGCCGCCCTGCTCCAGCTGGTCCCACTGCAGCAGCCGAAGGAGCACGGCCCCCTGCCAGCCTCCCAGGGCTTGGGGAGCATCAGCCTCTTCTCAGTTACCTCCTTAGCCGGAAAGCCCCCCACTGTCCTCCGGAGCAGCTCTGTGACCACCCGATGGACAGCCCGCCCGCCAGGCCCCGCCTGTGGCATTCCCAGCTGCTCTTACCCCACCCCGGCTGCCCAACAGTTGGGCCCCAGAGGGTTCCGGGGACACTCCATAGGAAGGGGCCTGGCACTTTGTGACTGCCGTGCGTGTCCCGTCAAACCTCCCGTCCCCAGTACAGACCCCCGTGTTTTGCTCTCTCCTGAACAAACGGAAACCGACGTCTGAAGGCGCAAGGTATCGAATACCTTCCTCACCCACAAGGGTTTTCACAAAGAATGTGTCTCCCCGGGAACCAAGACTTCCTCTGGCCCGAGACCAACTCCTGGGAAAAAAGAGTAAGGAGAATTGTGCTTGTATAAGTCACAGGATTGTTTCTGTCCTGGATTTTAACCTTTTTGTTAAATTGTGAAATTATGGAGGAGTTTTATAGAAAAAAAACCTGAAATAAAGTCCAATGGAAAAGCACCCCTGTCCAGTCCTGGGGGGTCTGTTTGTTTGGCGGTCCCCTGTGGGGTTGGTGGGCAAGGCCACTTCACCCTCCCTGTCCAGATCAGTGGCCAGGAAAAAGGTGGGTGGAGACTAAGCCTGGGGGTGGCATCAGTGAGGATGGGGTTCTGGTCAAGGGTGACATTCTGGAGGGATAGAGATGGCCTCTACAGAATCTAAGAAGGACATGAAGGCAGAGAATTCTGTCCCGGACCCTCCTTTTAATGCTGTGCTCTTCCCTTGGAAGCAAGCAGCACAGAGAGAAAAGCAAACTGATTTCCCAAGTTGGATGGGCTGATAGGTGGGGGAGAGAGATGGGTGGGTGAATATTTAAGTGCTGAATGGGTTGGGTGGTGGATAGGGGTGGATAGGTGCGTCTGAATGGGTGGGTGAGTGGATGGATGGATAGGTGGTTATGTGGTGAATGGGCGGAGGGTGGATTGTGGATAGGTGGTGAGTTGATGGATGGGTGAGGGGTGAGTGGATGGTGGGTGTGTGGATAGGTAGTGGATGGATGGTGGCTGGGTGGATAGGTTGTGAATGGATGGATCGGTGAGTAGATGGATGAATGGATGGGTGGTGGCTGGGTGGATGGTGGATAGGTGGTGAGTTGATGGATGGATGAGGGGTGGTGAGTGGATGGTGGTGAACGATTAGGTGGGTGGATTGGATTGACGGATGAATGGAGAAGTGGACCCTGGGTGGGCAGACAGTGGGTTGGTAGTTGGATGGGTATGTGGGTTGTTGTTGTTATGTGCCGTCGAGTCACTTGCGACTCATAGCGACCCTGTGTACAACAGCCCTAAACTCTGCTCTGTCCTGTGCCAGTCACACTGTCTCTGATACACCCTTCCCGCTTACCCCAGTCACTGAATCAATCCACCTTATAGAGGGCCTTACCCTCCTGCGCTGTGGGTAGGGTGGCGAATAAATGGATTGGTGAGTGGCTGATTGACAGATAGGTGGGTAGACAGATGAACAGACACGGCCAGTGAGTGACCAGATGAGCCAGTAGGTGGGCGACTGGGTGAGTGGATGGGTGATTGATGGGCGGATGGATGAGGGTAGGTGGTAGGTGAGTGGGGGCAAGTGGTTGGCTAGATGGTGGGTGGACGGATGCATAGTTAATGAAAGGGAGGGAGGAAGAAGAAGTCGGGTGTGGACAAGCTTTGCAGGTGACAGGTGTCAGGGGTGGGATCTTGCTCTGAATTCTGTGAATAGAGCCGAGTGGAGCCCCCAAGAGGCAAGGCCCCCACAGACTCTGTGGGCCACAGTACCCCCCTCAGGAGCAGGCCGATGCCCTTTGGCCACTACACCAACAGCAGCTGCTGGATCAGAGCACATTTGTCCAGGGGCAGCAGCAGGGGACAGGGACCCTGCTTGGCACATGGCTTCTCCCTAAACGGACCTCAGTCCGAGGGCTTCTCTGCCCTACGAAACTGCAGGACTTTGGAGACAGGTTTGTGGGTTTTTTTTTTATTATCCTCTAAAAAGTATGGACATAGAATGAATAGAAGGTCTTAAGTGCCCCCCACCCCCCGCTGTTCCCAGACACCCCTGACCCAAGTCGGAGCCCACCCTTACCTTCCAGAGGATTTTCAGGGGCTGGAAGCCACTCGGTAGCAGAATGGCCATTTTTCTCCCTTGGATCCACTAGTGGATTTGAACCCCTAGAGACACCACTCTGGGTTAGCAGTGCAGCGCCCCGCAGACCGCACCCCAGAGCTCCCTCATAGCATCTGGGAATGTGTGTAGAATGACGCAGCCGGCCCCTCGGGAGAGGAAGGGACACCTCGCCCAAGCCTGCTGTTCTCAGTCTCACACTGGAGAGCTGGTTGTGGTGTCGGGAAAGAACACTGAATTTACCACGGACTGCAGGACAGCCAGGGAGCTCTGCTGGTCTAGTGGCAAGAAGCTGCGCTGCAGTCCCAAAGCCTCACGGTTCGAGGCCACCAGCTGCTGCATGGGAGAAGGATGGGCAGTCCCCTCCCGTGCGATTAATTGCCTCAGAAAACCCGCTGTGGGTCAGTTATGACTCAATGGCACCCGTAACAACAGGACAGACGGTCCTGGGAGAAGTGCAGCCAGCGTCCTCCTTAGATGTGAGGGTGGAGACGCCATCTGTCCGTTCTGGGTATCTTCACAGGAGGCCAGTCCCTGGAGCAGGACATCTTGCTTGGCAGAGGGTCAGCGATGGAGGACCCCTCAGCAAGCTGGATTGGCACAGTGGCCGCCACTGGGGCACAGCCAGCAGAGATGGCAAACGTGGTGCAGGACCAAGCAGGGGTTCTTCACGTGGGGTCGCTGGGAGGTGGGCCACCCACAGCACCTAACGCAGTCGGCATAGTCTGTAAAAGGTGCATCTGGCAGTTTAAGTCCACTAGCGGCCCCTTGGGAGAAAGGGGCGCCCACTCCTCCCTTTAAGACTTACTCCCTCAGACAGAGGGTCACTGCAGAGCTGACTCCATGACAGGCGGTGGGAGGTGGCTCAGCACTCATCGCGTCACCACCACCGTCTGCTCAGGCCCCCTGTGGCAGGCCTTGGGCATCCCAGGGGCCTTCACTCCTGAGGGAATCTTCCAGAACTCCCAAGTGTGTGAGGCCAGGGTGGGAGAGCAGCCTCTGCCTAACCTTAACTCTGCCCTCCGGTGAGCTGTAAGACAAGGGGGCTGCACTGCCTGGGGTGTGTCCTGCAGAGCCTGGTGCTGCCCCAGGACAGTCACAGCCAGCAAGCATCTCAGTGACACGCCCAGCTCCTGGCCCCCTGGACCTCCA